TATTGGCCATAATTAAACCAAATCTTTCGGAACAACAAATAGGTAGCACAACTTTACATATATATGAATTACAGTTTTATAATTATGATTTTCTCATTTGTTTCTTTTAGCTGAAATCGAAGAACAAATTAGAAAGTCTGGCTTTTTCATCTTGGCGAAAAAGACAGAAAAACTAACACAGGAGAATGCAGCACAGTTCTATCATAGTCATCATGGTAAAGACTATTATGAAGAATTAATAAATTATATGACAAGGTATTGATTAGTTCAATTTTGTATGATAACAATTTATATATTTCTTCCATTATTATCAGTGGACCATCAGAAATATTAGTATTGTCGAAAGAAAATGCTGTTGAGAGTTGGAAAGAATTAATGGGACCAGAAGTGAGTTTTCTACAACTGTGTTTCTTTTGCTTTCTATTTTCTTTTTTGCGTTGATATTTCAGACTCCAAAACAGGCCATGGAAACGGCACCAGTCAGGTATGATGTTAAAAAAAATCGATTACAAATTGTTAAAAAAATTCAAGTTCTATTATTCGTTATAGTTTACGTGCATTATACGGTGTGGATTTGGTACATAATGCTGTTGATGGTTCTTCTGATGTTGACCAAGCGAAAACTGAGATTACACAACTTTTTGGAAATATTGATACAATTGATGAAGATGAAGAAAATGTTAATGAAGGTAAAATAAATAATAATTCTCTTTAAATATTTAGACAGAGATATGATACGCTCTCTCTAGAAGATCCTATCATAATCACTGAAGAAAATTTTGAAGAACTCACACGAGCTGCCACTACGATCCAAAAACGTTATAAACTGTTTAAAAAGAAAACAGATATTTCCTCTGATGAAACCGTAGGATATTGATTGAGTGACGTGATAGATCTTAGATATCTAAATATACCTGCTTGCTAATTTGTCATGTTGCTATTTATCCTAATTCCCAATTATCTTGACATCATACCATAATTAACTTAGTAGTGTGCCTTTACCCTTACCTTATTAAAGTAACCTTAAAAAGTACATGTCCTACAATTTGACGTTTACTCTCTGTATTCATATGTTTTTCCACACTGTATTTTCTTTCTAGGATAAAAATCAAGAGCCTGAACAAACGTAAAAATGTACTTATGTTTTATTCGTAAAACTATTTTTATTCTACTACTGTTTCTTATACGCATTTTGCTATTACTAAAAATAAATAATTGGATTTTTACAAAAAAAGTAGATTATATATAGTAGATTATACTGCTTTGTAATTATTACAAATTGTCCTGTGATACAGGTTAATGTAAATAACCTTTTGACTTTCTCATAAATGTTTATAGAAAAATAAAAATTTCTAATCAATACTAAACTACTTTTTGTCGTTGTATTTC